GTACATAGTTCAAATCCTCCAGGAGAAATAAAAGTAATCTCATTCCATGGAATTTAATGCCTCTGAAAGCCCACCAGAGGCCAGCTATGAATTAGTTATGACTCTATGGTATTCAACAACAATAATATTATATTGGTTGGTCTATCTTTATATGTATTATTCTCTGTTATTTACTAAAATAGCTTTTCCTATGAATCTGAGTAGTGTGAGTCTTCTTCCTACTCTTTTCTCCTACAGTTTGTTTTCCAAATTGTGCACTTGTAATTCTATGTAAACGTCAGGGTCAATATGTCCTTTCCTGTAGATAAGGAGTTGAAAATTTGCTGAGGATTTTATGAATCAGTAAAAACTTTGGGTGGATCTTCTTATACCATATTAAAAAAATTAACTCCAAGTGATCAGTAAATAAAAGAACCAAAACACTAAAGAAAGAATTGAAAACCCTCAGGGAATAAGCAAACAAAAACCATAGGAAAATACAAGATCATGTTGTCGACATGATACCAAAAGAAAAAGCAACCAAAGAAAAGACAATAGATAAAATGAAGGTCATCAAATAGAAAAAAAAAAAATTGTGCATCAGAGAGTGAAAAAAATCTCTTTAGTACCCTTTGGCTAGACAAATTTTTTTTTGTGGTTTCTGTTGTTTTTCTAAGTTGTTGTCATTATTGTTATGTGCCGCCGAGTTGCTTGCAACTCATAACGACCCTATGTACAAGAGCTCTAAACCTTGCTCTATCCTGTGCCATTCTCATTGTCTCCGACACACCTACTTCCACCTACTTCCCCCAATCACTGAATCGATACACTTTATTGAGGGTCTTCCTCTCCTGCGCTGTCCCTCCACTCTCCCAAACATGATGTCCCTCTCCAAGGACTGGTCCCTCCTTGCAACATGCCCAAATTATGTCAGATGAAGCTTAAGAATCCTTGACTCCAAGGAGCAGCCTGGCTTCACCCCCTCTAGTACAAATCTGTTTGTTCTCCTAGCAGTCCATGGTGTATTCAATACTCTTCTCTAGCACCACAGCTCAAAGGCATCAATTCTCTTTCTATCATCCCTAGTCACTGTCCAGCTCTCTGATGCATAGCACACAATTGTGAAGACTATGGCCCGCATCAGGCGCACCTTGGTCTCCAACCTGACGTTGTTGCTCTTCAGTACTCTGGAGAGGTCCCTGACAGCTGACTTTCCCAATGCAATTTGTTTTTTTATTTCCTGGCTGCTGGCACCAAGAGTGTTGACTGTGGAGCCAAGCAAACTAAAACTGTTAACTATGTCAGTCTCTTCACCATCCATACTGATGCTGCCAATTGGCCCAGTGGTGAGAATTTTTGTTCTCTTGATGTTGAGCTTCAATCTGTATTGAAGGCTGCAGTCCTTGACTTTCTGCAGTAAGCACTTCAGGTCCTCTTCAGTTTCAGCAAGCAGGTTTGTGTCATCTGCATAACATAGGTTGTTGATGAATCATCAACAAATCCTGATGCCACATTCCTCCTCGTTGAGCCCAGCGTCCTAGATGATCTGTTCTGCATACAGATTGAAAATATATGGAGACAGAATACATCGTTGGCAGATCTCCTTCCCAATTTGGAACTACGCAGTGTTTCCCTGCTCTGTTCTGACGACTGCCTCTTGGTCCAAGTATAGGTTTTTCATAAGCACAATCAAATGTTCTGAGATTCCCATTCTTCTCAGAGCCAGCCACAGCTTGTTGTGATCCACACAGTCAAAAGCCTTTGCATAGTCAATGAAGCACAGATAGACATTCTTCTGGTATTCTTTGCTTTCTTCCAAGATCCACCTAATATTAGCTATAATGTCCTATCTCCATACCTGTTCAACCTGTATATAGAACAGATTATCCAAGAGGCTGGGCTCTATGAGAAGTGTGGCGTCAGGATTGGTGGAAGACCTATTAACAATCTCCGTTATGTAGATGATACAACCCTGCTTCCTGAAACTGAGGACCTGAAATACTTGCTGCAGAGGGTCAAGGACTGCAGCTTTCAGTATGGATTGAGGCTCAATGTCAAGAAGACAAAGATTCTCACCACTGGATCAATTGGCAGCATCAGGATGGATGGTGAATAGATTGAGATTCTTAACAACTTAAGTCTGCTTGGCTCCACGGTCAACACTCTTGGCACCATTTGTCAGGAAATAAAATTGTGATGGGAAAGTCAGCTGTTAGGGACCTCTCCAGGGTACTGAAGAGCAATGGTGTCACTCTGGAGACTAAGGTGCATCTGATACAGGGCATGGTCTTCACAATCACTTGTTATGCATCAGAGAGTTGGACAATGACTAGGGAGGATAGAAGAAGAATTGATGCCTTTGAGCTGTGGTGCTGGAGAAGAGTATTGAATGTACCATGGACTGCCAAGAAAACAAACAGATTCATCCTGGAGAGGGTTAAACCAGGCTGCTCCTTGGAGGCAAGGAATCTGGAGTTTCGTCTGTCATACTTTGGACCTGTTGTAAGGAGGGACAGGTCCTTGGAGAGGGACATCATGCTTGGGAGGGTGGAGGGACGGCACAGGAGGGGAAGACCCTCTATGAGGTGGATTGATTCAGTGACGGGGTAATCAGGATGGGTGTGTCAGAGGCAATGCGATTGGCACAGGATAGAGCAGGGTTTAGGGCTGTTGTAAATAGGATCACTATGAGTCATAAGCGACTCAACGGCACATAACAACAACAACAACAACAATCCCTAGTACCATGACCCCTTCTAAGCCCAGCCAGTACATCTGGCAGTTCTCTGTTGACGTGTTGCTGCAGTTGTTTTGGGATAATTTTCAGCGGAATCTTGTTTGCATGTGATATTAATGACATTGTTTGATAATTTCTGCACTCTGTCGGGTCACCTTTCTTTGGAATGGGAACAAATATCAGGAAAAGGTTTGAGGCCTTGAGCACCAATGAGTGTAGACCAAATGAGCTGTGGGAGGATATCAAGGATATTGTTCATAAAGAATGCAAAAGGGGGGAGCTCTGGTGGCCTAGTGGCAAGAAGCTGCAACTATAATCCCAGCGGTGCACGGTTCGAATCCACCAGATGCTCTGCTGGGGAAGGAGGGACAATCTCCTCCTGTACCAGTCAGATCTGATTTGACGGTACACGCACACAAAAATAATAAAAAAATAATAAAAAAAAAGAATGCAAAAGATCTTTACAAAGGCTGAAGAGGAAGAAAAGACCAAGATGACTGTCAGGTGAGACTCTGATTATTGCATTAGAGTGCTGAGAAGCCAAAGCTAAAGGAAGAAATCAAGAAATTAAAGAGCTGAACAGAAAATTTCAAAGGGTAGCTCGGGACGACAAAGCAAGATACTCTAATAAAATGTACAAAGAGCTGGAGTCAGAAAATCAAAAGGGCCAAAATACCTCAGTGTTTTTAAGCTGAAGGAGCTGAAAAATAAATTCAAGCCATGAGTGGCAATACTTAAAGGATGCTTTGGGTAGAGTGTTAAATGATCCAAGAGAGATTAAAAGAAGATGGAAGGAGTGTACAGAGTCACTGTGCCAGAAGGAATTGGCTGACACAGAAGAATTTAATGAAATAATGTATAAGCAAGATCCTGTGGTGATGAAGGAGGAAGTTCAAGTTGCTCTGAAAGAATTGGCAAAAAACAAGGCTCCAGGAGTTGATGGCATACCAATTAACATATTGTTTTTAAGTGTCATTTTAAAATCACAATTTAGAGCTACTATTGATATTGATTGTGGATTTTAAAAAAATAAATATCACAATCCATATAAGAACAATTGATAAATTGGACTTCATAGATGTAAAAATCTTCTGCTCTTTGAAAAACACTGTTAAAACAATGGAGAGTCAAGCTATAAATTCAGAGAAACTATGCATAGATTTGAGAGGTCTTATATCCAGAATAAACAGAGAACTTGAACTTCAATAAAGTATTAAGAAACCCAATTTTAAAATGCACAAAATGTTAACAGATATTCACAAAAGGTGAGATAAAAGTGTCAAAATGACATTTTTAATTTGGTAAGATGATGAGCAATAATGGTCATTGGGTAAATGCAACGTACAACAACTCAGGATACCACTGGAGATTTATTTTCAAATCAAACTGACTACTGCTTACTCCATTCTGACTTATAATGACCCTCCACAGTCTTTCCAAGGCTTTACATCTTTATGGCATAAAACTGCCCATCTTTCTCCTGCAGCATATCCGATGGATTCAAACCATCAACCTTTTTTGGTTAGCAATCCAATACTTTACACATAATCCCTCTAGGACTCCTTCACACATCTTTTTTTATTGCTACGTGCCATCAAGTCATAGTTGACCCTCCAGAAAGTTTTTAGAGGTTGTAAATAGTGTGAGAGAAGATTGTCCATCTTTCTTCCGTGGAACAGCTGATGGATTCGAACTGTCTTCCTTTGAGTTGGCAGTGTAGCTCTTTACCCATGAGGCTGCCAGAGCTAGTTCATACACCTTTTAGATGAGTCAAAAAAGTAAGATGAATCACATTACTAGTTAGCGGTGATTATGTGGATGAACTACACTTTTCTACTTTGCTACAAGGAATGTAAATTAACATAACTTTCGAAAGGCCCAGTAATATCTTAAAACATACAACAGACTCTGGGATCCAATCCAGCCATTTGATCACAGTTGTTTAACCAAGAGAAATGAAAGCACACATGTACACAATCTTGCATACAACTGTTCACAGCAGCTTTGTTTGCAATAGCTCTAAATTGGAAACAGCCCAAAAGGTGAAGATTGCACACATCCACATAAAAGAATTGTTGAATTATAAGGAACTGAGGGTTGGACCATACAAAGGCTCTGGACAGATCCCAGAGAGTCAGGACTGCGCATGCGGCTCCTGAGGAACGCCCACGCCTGTAGACCCTTCCACCCATTGGTGGAGCCTGATTGTCACAGGGACTCATAGCAACCAGATTCGGGCCACACATTAAACCCGGAAGCCTGACATCTGGGGGCTGGGGTGAGCATGGACCACCAGAAATGGTGGTTCCAGCCTGTGGAGCTGGAACCCATGCCCCTGGGCATGAATTGCAAGCCCTGGTACAAGGACAGATTGCCCTCCAAGTGCTTTGCAAAATCTAAGGATAGGCTGAAATTCCCTACTTCCTTGAACTCTCGGAATTGGGTGTTCGTTAAAGAAGGGATAGATGACTTCAGGAAGAGCTGCCCACCTTGCACAGAGATGATCACTCGGGGCCCAAAGGGCAATTTTCACCCACTGATATATCGAAAAACTCCTGGACCAGCCCCAAAAAGCTGTTGGAAGAAGCTGTCCCCCAATTCAACCCTGTTTTCCAAGCTCTCGCAAGCTCAGCTGGCACGGAAGGCCTTCGTAGAGGAGATGGAAGCCCGTGTGAAGCCGCATCCATTGGCTTCCTGTCCAAATCTAGAGGACGAAATGTCCCCAAAGCTCCTACGAGAGGTGCTGGAAGTGTTGGATCCTGACAAGCAGCTCAAAGACACTTGGGCGTACCTTGAGGATGGTAAGAAAAGAGTAAAGAAACACACAGGAGCTTCAAAAACCCCTTCAATAAGTGCCAGGTTGAACTTTCCCAAGTTGAAGCCTTGGCCAAGTCCAGATGATTGGCTTAAAGAAATGACAATAGTAGAGGATTTCTGTAAACCCCTTGATGTTCCAAAAAATGTAGTCAACACCGTGAGTCACTTCTGTGAATGGGTTGCTTCACTTGGAATTGAAGGTATTGAGAAACAATCCATCATAAAACAGTTTGAACCCATAATTGTCCGTACACCAAAGGTGGGCCCATCCAAAATAAAGGATATGATCCTGCTTTCACCGAAACTACTGCGTACAGAAGGGCTAACTAGATTGAAAGCAGGACTCCCTGTACCAGATCATATCTTGGCAAAGAAAGAGTACGATCTGCAGTTTTCTGATGAAAGGCGTATGAAGATGAGATATGGGGCATGGTATCTGCATCCCAAGTTGTGGAAAAAGTTAAGAGAAGATGAACCTTTGCCTGACCCCAATTCCCTACCTGACATTGAAGCAAGGTATTTTGTAAAGTATGAGAGGGGGCATGATATCCTTGAAGACCTTTATGCACCAATTGCTTTTAAGGATTTTATTCTAAGGCAAGGCTACAACATGCCAACCATAATTGAAAGGCTGTTTACCAGGAACAACTGGAAATATGATGTTGTTAAAAGTCCTGCAATACTATCAACAAGAGTTAGCTCACATGACAGTTTTTCAGTTAAGGATTAGTTTTCATTTCCCTACATATGTGACTATTTCTCTTTCATTTGAAACATCAAACAGAATTTATGATGTGTACTTCACCATGGATGACCACGGAATTAGTCCTTAATGCTTATAAACATTTCCCAGTTACCATCTGCTTCAGGTTTATCAATGTTTAGTCAACTAGGAAATCAACAGCCAAATACATTCTTGTTACATTTTTTTCATTATTGTGAATATCATAGTTCCATCAATTACTGGTAAAATGAACAACAAATAAAACGGAATTACTGAAAAAATATTGAGCTTGTGTAGTCATTACAACATAGGATGAATCTTAGATAAGATTATTGATTGTTGTGGGCCATCGAATCAGAATCCACACATAGCTGACTCTGCAGGGGGTTTTCAGAGGCAGTAAATCACAGGAGGAGAGACTGTCCATGGTTCTCCAGTAGAGCTGCTGGTAGATTTGTACCACATTTAGAATTGCAGCACAGCTGCTTACCATTAGACTTGCAATAAGACTAGTATACTTTTGACTTATTTTAAAGAAGTAAGTATGCCAAGCTGAAATTTAGAGCCAAAACAATGTTTATGCTGTTAGGTGTCATCAAGTAAGCTATAATTCATGGTATGTCACCCCCCCCCCATCCCCTGCCTGCTGCCAGTTCAACAGAAGGAAATCTGGCTTAGTCCCATAGCATGTTCATAATCTCTGCTGTGCTTAACTCCACTGCTGTGGCAGTTACTGTGTGAAACTATCTCATCAAGAGTCTTCCTCTCTTTACTCTTCCAAGCTTGATGTTCTTCCTCAGGGACTGACTCCTCCTGATAACATGCTAATGTATGGGAGCTGATGTCTCAACATCCTTCCTACTAAGTAACACTCTGTACTTCTTCCAACTCAGGTATTTTTTTTTGTTCTTTTGGCAGTCCATAGTATATTCAGTATTCTTTACCAATATGTCAGTTCAAGGATATCAATTCTTACTTGGTCTTCCTTATTCATTGCATTCATATGAGGTAACTGAAAATACCATGGTATGAATCAGGGTCTCCTTAGTTTTTAAAGTGACATCCTTGCTCCTCAGCACTTTAAAAAGGTCCCTGGTAGATGATTTACACAATACAAAATGTCTTTTACTGTTCTCACTGCTGCTTTCCTGGATGTGAATTTTGGATCCAAGTAAAATGAAATCATCAAGTTGAACTTTTTATTATGGTGTTGTCTAATGGTCCAACTGTGAGGAGTTTTGTTTTTCTTTATAATGAGGTAGGTAACTTTTGATTTTCTTCAGAAAATGCTTCACGCTATTTCCGCTTTCAGCAAGGTAAGCTTTAACTATGAATAAAGAACTTGTTATTTCTCCATTTAGATTTCAATCAAGGATCCAAAATTGGACTGAAATGACTTATCAAGACTATAGAAATTTTATTTATGCCATTCTATTGATCAAATGAACAAATACTCATCATATTAATAAAAATTCCTTCAGGAAAGTGTGTTCCCATATCATGTAACATAGCTTCAGAACAGTAGGGAGTCTTTAGTTCCTGAAAAATTAGTGTAGAAAATAAATCTTTGTGAGGAAAGCTATAAAGCAATTTCAAACATTCCCACCTAGCTATGCAAATACAATTAATCTTTGCAGGTCCTGAATATCAACTTAAAATTTGTTAATAAATTTAAAAATACAAAATCAAACAATTCTTGATTTTTCTAAAATAACAATTAAGCTTTTTAGGGGCCAAGACATCTGAAGCCAAAATGCTTAGTAGTGCAGATCTGCAGTGTATTTTTTATTCCAGGAACAAAAGGAACTAACTCTAGGTGGAAGTATACTTTATCATAATAAGAACATTTATATGCAAATTACATATTTTCAGTGATGTCTATGAGTATGATGAAGAAACAAGAATATTGTATATTTTTGTAACACAAGGCCTAGCTTTTGTCTCTGAATCCAGTACATTAATTTTATTTCCACTAAATTTTCTTATTAATACAATATATTCCAAAATAATTCTTCTCCTTGACCATATTTTTTTGAAACAAAAATCTAGTCAGATTCACAGCACTGCTAATTCTCCAGGTTTATACACACCGACACTCACACACATACCTTTGTATAACAATGGGCATAGGCAGTTATGAAATGTCACCCCAAAATGTCACCTTAAAAGTCTCATTATATATATATATATATATAGAGAGAGAGAGAGAGAGAGAGAGAGAGAGAGAGAGAGAGAGAATTAATTACAATGTAGTTCTAATGTCATTTTCCAGACAGAAGTTCCAATGTAGTTTTCCATTCAAGAGTATGGTTTGTTGTTTTTTTTCTAGGTCAAAACCTGGAAACTTTACTCTTTTTTTCCCTTTATTATTATAAGGAACTACCATCAGCTGATGTGTTTGAAATCACAGAAGCCATGGAAGCTTCATATATAAGTTATTAGATGGAGAGCGGGTGAAAGGGACATAGATGAGCAGGGAGGGGGTAGAAGTGGATGGATATCCTGTGGGATGGTGAAGCAGGAAATAAGTGTGTAAAGGTGCATGTGAGAAAGGCAGGGACAACACTGA